TCCCCATTGCTTCCGATGTTGCCAAAATCTGGGTTCACGCTGTGCTGCCCCTCCAGCTTAGAGTTTCAGCCGTGCATTCTTTCTGGGGCGCCGACACCTCATTTCCAAGGAGACGCAAAGAGGATGGAACGAGGAGGGAGAAAGGCTTACCGTCCCTACGCTGCTTGGAGAAGAGTGTATACTGAAGGGTAGCTCTGTGCTGGGCACTGCCTGACTCAGGCCTCAGGGCGGTCCCTAAGGTGTCACCTTCCTTTCACAGGTGAGGGACACAGGCTCTGGGCAAGGCCACTCGGCCAGTCGGCGGCAGGGCCGGACGGGAACGGAGCCTGCTGGCCCCTCTCCTGCTCCTGCCGGTTGCTGTGCAGCAAAGGGGGGCCGGAGGGCTGATTCTGGCGGGCGCTGGGGGAGGCGCGGAGCCGGGGGGCCTGACGGGAAGGGGCAGCTCCTGCTCACGTCGCGGGGCCTGCGGTCAGGAGAGGGGGTCGCGGGGTGAAGGGTAGGGATGTACAAGGCGCACGCCTGGAATCAACGGAGGCGGTTGTCGGGAGGGGAAGCTCATTTAAAGTCTTCAGGGATGTTAGGATTCAGCTTGTGAACAAAACAGTTATGTTTCCATCATGTGGACTTACTTTGGATTTTCACATGCTTTTTATTTCTTTTAAAATTTTTCTACTATTTTAACATTCATAAAGATGATTTATTTGGTTTAGATAAGTAACAGAAATAAGTGAACTTTTTCTTTACTCCGCAACTTAATAGTTGTGCGATGTGGGCCTTAATGCTTCTCATGGTGCACTAATAAAATTACTGAAAAGCTATAAAGGTACATTCAAATGCAAGGTACAATAATTATTTACTATTAAATCAAAGCAAGAGTAATAATCAGAAAAATGAGGGTGTTCCTAAATAAACCTACATATTTTAAAGCTCCATTTTCAATTATTATTCTATTAATTTAAGTGTGAAGATTCATAAAATATACTAATGAAGAGAGAAGGAATTGTTAAAACCTATTTCTGTACTACTTTCCCAATTTAATTGGGAAATTTAACAACCAAATTAAATTAGAGCAATTCCCTGAAGACACTGGGAAACAGAGCTTTTCTGAAGATATTACAATTCCGTTAAAGTATAAAATTAATATATAAATAAAATAGTAATATTACTTTAAGGTATTTTACAACAAAATGAAAATACAGTATATTCTACTTTGGAAAAAAGGTAACAAAAATGTACCACATAATGTTTTAATTTACTTGGCAATTAACAGTGATATCGTAGACTATACCTGTGTATACACTGGCTAACTACCTAGATAGCTCAATGTGGTATGCAAATCTCTCTCATCTTATCTCCTCATAAGTTTGGGAGGAAAACATTAAATCTAAGTAGAATCTACTGAAATAAGAAATGTTCACTTGCAGTGAAGACTGTTATATGCAATTAAGATATATTTAGCCTTTTATCTATTATTGATATTTATGTATATAGCCATTAAATAGACTCACTAAGTACTTCAGTACATGGGTATATTTAATTCATTCAAATAAAGAGCATTTTGAAAACCAGATGATAAGGTGTGTTATGAAGCAAATAAAAATGGTAAGTAATATATGGAATTTATAAGTGGCTCTATATTAATTCTGCATCTATGTGACGACTGCCATGAATTGTGGGTGAGTCCTTTATTACAGAAATGTTTTTAATGGAGAAAGACAATTCATTCAGTTTGAATCAAAATAAGCCACCTGATACTTTTGCTTAAAGACTGTAAAAGGCAAGTAGCTGCTACCAAGTTACAAACTGGAACAAGTTTGGATATTTGCAAAAGAAATGAGAGCTTCTTTAGCAGAACAACTGAGGAATTAATTTTAAATACAGAAGAATGCCTTACTTGTTCCACTAACTTAAAGTCCTGGAAAAGTTACTTTATCAGATATTTTCAGTATTTATTTAAGTCATAAGCCAATAATTTACATCCTTAGAAATATATTTTCTGATGATGCAAAACTATTCTCAATCAAAATGTTGGTGTCAGTAATGTCAAGCTAATGAAGTTTTAAAATACATCTCAAAATGTACCAAATAAGAATACATAACATTTTGTTGAAAAGTATTTACTAAAAAGAGTTTAAAGTAGAATTAGATAATAATAATGATAATTTACATTAGCATTTTACACTTAAGAATACTGATTGAACTGTGAGGACTAAACTCAGACGTTTGATGCTTTAGGGACATATTAAGATACATTTTTTCTAACTTGCTACTCAAAAATTACGGTTAATTTGAGGCCACAAATAGATGTAAATTTTATTAAGATTCATAATCAGTGTTATGTACCCAGAGGTTCATAAAGGTTACTTTTTTCATGTTAAAACAATGTCATTTACAAAGAGATATATTTTTTATTGGAATGATTTTCAAAATGTCTTTTAACTCTTTCAGTAATAAAACTGCAAGGGAATTTCTCTACAATTTTAAAATCAGAAAAATTCCCGGGGATTCCAAATTTATGCATTTTTTTCCTCATCACTGTTTTACATATCTTACAACTTCTGGGAAACATTCCTACATCCATGTTAAGTATAAATAAATCTATTCTACAACTCAAGATGACTTCAAGATTGCTTACTAATGAGATTAAATTACGGAAAAATGGTACATTAATTGTGTGTGTTTGTGTGTGGCCACATGTACATTGATGCAACAAGAAATAAGAGGGAAATTAAATGCTTCCCCACTTACCAGAGAACTCTGAGCAAAAACATTTGTATTACTATGTTATTTTCAAAATAAGTAAATGTGGCCCTGATACAGGCCATCCAAAGGCTCATTACATAAATTATCACGGATTTTAGAATATTTTCCTATACCAGTGACCTAGGAAAACAATCACCTAGTGCCCAAGTTCTCATGAACATTCACTATCTCCAAATCAGATGCCATGTTTTGGAAACTGGTCAAAGCTTCTAAATGAGTATATAAAGCTGACAAGAGGTCAATTTCAATAGTTAAGTTTTGCCAAGTGGTTGACTTGGCTGCCTATGAATCTAACGTCTATTGATGTACTGATTTTTCTCTCATTTTTATTATACCTATATTTAAATGAAAGGTTACGGTGAAGAATTCTCTGTTCTCTATAGGAAAAAATCACAGCCATTTAAAATGTATTTCTCTTGGGGGAACATAGAATTTATTCATAAATAAGTCATAAAAAAGTAAAATATAAATTAAGAATTATGAATTAGTAAGTTTCCTTTAATAATCTCATCTAAAAAGACTATTTCTGCTCCTAAAACCTACTCTAAAAGTTATATATACAACCTATGAAATTGAATAACAAATAATTCATATGTCTTTATGACAACTACTTTTCAACTAATCTTCATGTCAGGTATATAAGAACTGAAACTATTATGTGGGTTTCTATTTTGCTTAATCTGCCCAGATAAACTCACGTTTATGTTCATTACACAGACCATCATATTTAATTGCCCTATACTTAAACAGTCATTACATAAAATGAAATCCACTGATGCACTTATTTTGGAATAAATTCAAAGCCTTGAAGAATTGTTTTTTATAAAAGGAAATTCTGAATGCCTTAATGGCCAGAACCTTCCTTTTTGTAGACACTGTTGGGACTCTAGCCGTTAGAATAGTGCACACAGTAGAGCGCAACAAATATTTGTTGAATGAATGAGTGGCAATGTTGATGTGATTTCTTTTTAATTTATATAACTATTGTATATATTTGTTTGAAAAGGCTTTCAATTTGTGGTAATTTTTGGACAGGGGATTTTACTAATTTTTCTAGACCCAGAAATTCTAACCTAGAAGTCTGATAGTAGCAGAAGGAACTAGTTTTAAATTCCAAATATGTAAGTCATACTAAGAGGTAAATGTCTTAAAAGAGGAAAGCCTATTAAAATAATCTTCAATCTTCATAATATACCAGTTTGTGGTTTTTTGCAACATTGTAAAATGCTTATTAATTTTTTTCTGAGTAACAGTGTTTGGTTTTTCTTCCAAATTGAAATCCTGAATATATCTTGACTGTTCACAGATACACAGAAAAATAGTATCACTCTTAACTAAGGGTATAATTACTCTGTTATATACATACATACTGGAAATAATAAGTTTGTTCTGCTTCTGAGATACCACATATACCTATCTACTTAATAAATATTACCAGTGTATTGACTGAATATCTGCTTTTACCCCAGAAGACAAACATCCCAAACACCCAATAACCTTTTGTGAGCAGATGGAAAAAGATAATTTAAAGAACTGCATATGACAAACACCGTGAAACAGGAGAATTGGGTTAACTACAAAGGAAGGGATAACAAAGCAATGGAAAATAGATATTGTACACTGTTGATAGACTGGCATGAAGTGCATTCAAAGCACTGATGATGCTGTTTCTAACACCTACCTGGGGATTGACCCTAGCCTTTGACTAAAAACACAAGGATCGTAACACATTCATATGAGAAATATATAGGAAAAGGTGTTCTATTTTAAATCAGACATTTCTAATGTACCCCAAAGCCTAAACTTCATTAGTAACTTTATGTAGCAAAGACGACAACCGGGACTAAATCAACAACCAATATGACAAAGAATAGGCCCTGTGATTGATTTTAATAGATTTTAAAGCAATGGAAAATTTTTATTTACTCATGTTTAAACAAAAACAATATCTGAATGTGTCCCTAGAGAGTCAAAACACTGAAAACAAATGTTCATTAAAACAGAACCCTACCACTGGGTCTGACTATATTGTGTTCAAACTATGTCACCTGTACGTGACCCTCACATCAGGAAACGCTCTGAGGGGCTTTATTAGAGGCGCATTTACTGATGCAATCACAACAGTCCCGGCGATGCCCCCTGGAAGGCAGCGCCACACCAACATCTCTCGTTACCCTCTGCTTGGCGGCCTACATGCCTCCGAAGCCACTTGTCTGTGAGGAGTTGTTGACTAGTACCTGTCATTCTCCGGAGACGCATGCTGGATTTGAATCCTGGGGCTAGGAGGTCGTCTCCTATCTAGGGAGGGGGACCATCTACCCCTGTTTGCCCAATGAACGAGACAGGAAAAAACAGGACATTTAGTAACTCCTAAAATAAAAGAACATATGGAACAACAGGACTGGAAAAACACCCCAAGAAGGCAAAGTGTAGATTCTCTGCGCCATAGTTTACTCTTCATTTCTACAAGCTTTAGAAAGGTGAATTATAATATAAGAAAACAAAACCTGCAACCTTGTAAGTGATTACAGAATCAATTTATTTGGGAAGATGTCTGAAATCTATTAGGCGTAATTTTGTTCTTTTAAAGTGCACACATATCCACACACACACAAACGTGTGTGACTTTAAGTTTAAAGAGAAGCATCCTTAAGATTGTGCTTTATGTTTGAGTAAAACAGGTTTAAAAAGCTACCAATGCTTACTTGTTACCAGGCCTTGAAATTACTGGATAAAGTGGCATAGACGAGGTGTGTGAATTTAATATAAAGCAGAAACTTAATTTAAGTGGAGGAAATAAAAATGCTTCTTAGGGTGGATACAAGAATATGAAGAAATAATTCATGGGAATGCTACCAATGAAGCCTTAACAAGCTTGCTTTGGGGAAACTGCAGGGCTATTTACTGAAACGTAAAAATGGTGAGTGAGAAACGGTGATGGATAAAAGTGAGAAAGGAGGATAAATGCCATGGTAAAACAGCATTACCTTTAAAAAATCCTGCCAACCTTTACTTGCAAAAGTACCTCTCGGGTGGTTCAACTGCTATTTTTTATTTCAGCATTTACTTTTTTGTGATTAACAGTTAAATAAAATGTCAAAATTTGGTTCATTCTTTTGATAAACTATCTTAAAAGTATATAAATACAAATTATACACATCCAGCTGAAAACTGAAAAGGAGACAATCAGGGACCGACAGGCCGGATTTGGAAATGTTTATATTACAGGCATGAACATTTTCAGCAGGACGACTTCTTTGGATACTGGCTTCCTCATATGCAACAAGGGATGACTGGTCTTTATGGACTGATCCAGCTAAGGTTTTATAATAATCAGTCCAGACTAGTCTGGATATTTAAAAAAAAAAAGCAATCTTCTTTGCCATAATAACTTGGCTTACTGGATTTATTAGATATCTGAACCAAAGCAGCAAAGAGCTGTCAACATGTGGCCAAAATATCAGGTCAGCAGGTCCTCGATTCTGAAAGCCTCTCAGAAGCCTGTGCTTAATCAGTCATCCTTAGACGGACTAGGCATGATTCAAGTAGGGCTTTGAGGATGCTGTGAGGCAAATGAAGGTATCTGGGAGCAGCATTTGGGCAGAAGAGAAAACTGTATGACATGTACTCATAAATGTGTTACAGGCTTGTGAAATTAAAGTCACTCTGCATTAATTTTAAATAATTTAACTACTTTAATTATTTAAATGGTCAGTCCAATATGATTGCTCTGCAATGTATCTTTTCACTTTACTGGCTTTTGCTCTGCACATACAGTAAAGTATTTCTAAATTAACCGGAAACATTTATAACGACAGTGCTTTCTATGTTATGTTAGACTCAGTCATGTTAAAACTTGTGTTATTTGAAAACACAAAAGTAGACGTGGTATGTGTTCCTGTAAATTAGTAAATAATAGTAACTTGACAGGATTTGAGTAACCTTGCTTCCTGGGGTAAAATTCCAGTCCTTGTGTTTACTTGAACATGAAAATAAAGGAAATGCTATGATTATGAAACATGCAGTGAAAGCTATGGAGGAGAAAAGGGTACATTTAGAAACAAGCAATTCGGATGCAAGCTATTAAATAGTAATTCTTGAGGAAATAGCATAATGCATGTATATCTGTACACTCAAAGTCCTTCTGAATATGCTGATATATGGTACCAATATAAGAAATCTGTTTATTGTTCCCTCACATATTTGATATGATGAAATATCAATTTATACCCAATTTTCATACAAAGAACAGATAGTATATCAGTTTTAATACACATATGTGTGTTCAAAATACTAGTACAATTTGCACGCTTTTAAAATGTGTGCAACTTCTTTTTCTCTACTCACACTGAAGGACCGAAATTAACTCTTTATCCCTCTGTCGTCAAGCCACATATACAGCTTCAACTTCCATTTTCATCTTAGAAACTAACATGGCAAGGTATGTTGCAGTTACTAATCATGAAGTTGAACGAAACCAGTCCCTTCTTGAGTCTTCTGTCCAACCAAATTGCTGTGCATTATGCTTGTTAGTTACATTACTAGTACTTTAATATAAGATATTCTAATTTCATTAATGAAGGAACCTCTTGTTGGGAGGCCATCCCTGTAACTCTGCTCAGACTATAAGAAGAAATGTCACTCTTATGGCTATGGGAATGAAATAACAGACTATTAGCTCCTTGCATAAGGGAACTATAATGTTTTTTGTGTTGTTTTGATAGTTACATAAACTATGCATAGCACAAAATAAGTAATGAACTAAGTATTAGTGAATAGTTAAGTAGACAATAGGTTCAGTAAATCTGACTAAGTCTGGGGTGAGTTATTAGCAAGGTTTTAGATTTCAAGTCATAGCTTCTAAGCTTGTTCATTGTATTTATGGTGGTTATAATATTTCCCATCTTTAAGTTCTTGGGTCTCATTCACAATTAGACCCAAATAGGAGAAGAAAATAGGAGGTATTTTTCAAGCCTCCCCAAATCAACCATTTACTAAGTAAAAAAAATTCTATCACAAGAGACGCTAAGGACAAATAGGATTATGAACCCCGCCCTCAAAGAGTACAATGTAGTGGAAGAAACAAACATACGACAAGTTAAACTAGAATGTGCTGTAACAGAAATACATAAGAGTTTGTGGGCCAAGAAAAAGAAAGTAAATGACCCTGAGTAGCAACAGAAAGGGACATGCGTGTGGAGCAAGTGGGGCAGGCGTGGGTAAGAGAGGTTTCACAAAACATACAGTTATGTGACTGGCATTTTTGAAGAATGAGTGAAAATTTTAAGCAGACAATAAAGGAAGAGGGACATTTTAATTTTTAATGGAAGAGAACTTGAAACACAAACTAGTAAAAACTAGAGTTCATGAGAAAATGAATGGGGCCAAGAATGACAGTGGCACCAGAGAGGGGCTATAATCTGACCCGGCCTGTGCGAGGCGGGGCGCCTGTTGCCTGGCCTCAAGGGAGAATTGGTGGGATTCACCGACTCACTGAACGTGACCGATGAGGTGTTTCCAGTGTATGTGCTTGTTTATGTATCAAAGCAGCCACCCCATAAGAGGACCACTTAGCAAGAGAAACACTTTGCTGTAAGGGGAGATAATGAATTTTATGTAGACATTTTGATGTCCACAGGGTCTGGCAACCATTTAAAAATTCAGGCCCCGAACTCATGGGAAAGATCTGGCCTGGCTAATAGCAGTGGAGTGTTGCCTTCAGAGGAAATTTTTGAGAGAAATATAATTTCAGAGACAATATGGGGGAGGCAAAAGAAAACAGAGGATGGAGCTAGGAAAATATCTCTATGGGGCAGGTTAGGAAGAAGAGACATGTTGTGTCATAACAAAGGCAAAAAAAATCTGCACAGGGTACTTAAGAGAGGGACAAGTGACAGGACGATCAATGCACAAAGTCGCAAGAAAGAAGATGGAACACCCAAGAAAGGTGACTATTCTCCAGTGAGTCTAAAAATAAATGTTTCTGAACACTTAAGGAATGATCTGTTGTAAAACCTGGGAAAAGAAAGATTAATAGCAGGCCTGCAATTGACTCCTTCCCGATCAGGGAATACGGGGGACCGGGCGACCTCACGCAGAGCCTGACAAAGCTGGAGGAAAAGCCCGACAGTCCGGACCAGACCTCCTTGCAGACATTCAAGGTATTTGCTAGTGAAAAGATAAAGGAGAGTCCTCAGCTACGAGGTGATTTCAGGAGGCTACAACGAGTCTTTCTAGATCTTGTACTGCAAGTAAACCCCAAATGTCTTGATTTATGGGGTGTAACTGGTTGGGCGATGGGATGGCTCCTAAGTGTTTCTGCCATTTGTGTAATCAACAGATACATAATGGAGACACTCAAACACTGAAATGGCTTTCTTTGCAAATACTGTTTCTATACGTATTGCCCAAAATTCATCTGTTAATGTGTAAACCATCCTGAGAAGGGAGAAAATGTGGAGCTGATGGCTTTTGGCTCCTTCAGGACAAGACGGAATCATGTGTGCTGAGCCTTCCTCTACCTCTGATTTATAAGGGACCTGGGTGTTGGGGATTGAGTCTCTGCTTTCACAATTCCATCCTTTGTAGGAACACAAAATTTCACTTATTTTAAAAGTCAGAGGGGATACTTCAGACAAAGGCATTATATTGGTATACATGTTCATCAAACCGGCTTAGAATCAGCAGATTGTTTAAATTTAATAATTCACAAGGCTGTGGAAATATGCTACTATCTTAAGACTATGAAATCACATTTTTAACAAATTTTCTCTAACACTTTATCTGCTATGTATGTATTCGACATTAACATAAGAAGCTCTCCGGTCAATCAGAGAGATTAAGTAACGTGGAAAACCCTCTCGGCCTGCCTCCCTCTTCCTGCTCCCGGCACTTCCTGCCTGGGGACCTTGGGGGCTGTTCCACAGAGAACAAAGTCACAGTTCTTGACACTGTGATGATCCGCTTCAAAGCTGCTTTGTACATGGGTGTGCGAAAGGGCGTTGGAGGTCCTTACCCCCTAAACCAATCAGCATCTACAACTTCTTTTATGTAAACTTTTCTCACTTTAGTTTCTTCTTGAAAACAAAGTGGCCCCAATAAATTAAAGATCATTAATAATACTGATCCCTTTTCCCTATTCAATATATAGAGTGGATACAGGTTTTAATCACATGTGTCTTCTGTCAAGGTAAGCTCACTCACTTGGACACCACTGTGACCTGCACAGTAATGGTGGCCAGATCACCTGTCTACAAGGTGGCCAGTTTTAAGGGTATTATCTGAGAGATTAAATTCACTAATGCATAGATTTGTGATCTCTATGGCTTCTGCATAACAAGGGAATGCATGCTAGAGAGACTTCAGCATCGGAAAAAATCTGTGCTGTCCAATGCAGTAGCCACAAGCCACATGTGACTAGTGAGTACCATGAAAAAAAGGAATGTAAAATAGCTACTGGTCTCTACTGATTGTATGTTAAAGTGATACTATTTCATATATATATACATACATTGGACTAAAGTATCAAAATTAATTTCACTTTTTCTAATATGGCAACCAGAAAACTTAAAATTTCACATGTGGCTCACATTGTATGTCTACTAGATAAAACTGATAGAGATGCTAACAGTGTTAGGGTGGTATACTCAGAAGAACCTGCTGACGTGGGTAACTCTATCCTTGTTTTACTAACCAGAAACATATAAGGACATAATAAAAAAAATACATTTTTTTCTTGCTACTTTTATATTTATATTTTTAGGGAGTAATATATAATAAAAGAGAATAATAAAACAGTTCCAACTGTGTTTTTAGAAACGCTTATAGTCATTTCAGCTAAATTTCTATTACAAATATAAAGGCATACAAAATTTAAGTTAGATTCCATTGTTTCCTATTACAAATTCTACAAATATGAAAGAAAACCAAATTAAAGAGTAAAACTTTTCAGTAGAATCTTATGAAGACACTAGAAAATGGGCTGTATACCTATATATATTAAAATTCACAAGGCTGTGGAAATATGCTACTATCTTAAGACTATGAAATCACATTTTTAACAAATTTTCTCTAACACTTTATCTGCTATGTATGTATTCGACATTAACATAAGAAGCTCTCCGGTCAATCATAGAGATTAAGTAACGTGGAAAACCCTCTCGGCCTGCCTCCCTCTTCCTGCTCCCGGCACTTCCTGCCTGGGGACCTTGGGGGCTGTTCCACAGAGAACAAAGTCACAGTTCTTGACACTGTGATGATCCGCTTCAAAGCTGCTTTGTACATGGGTGTGCGAAAGGGCGTTGGAGGTCCTTACCCCCTAAACCAATCAGCATCTACAACTTCTTTTATGTAAACTTTTCTCACTTTAGTTTCTTCTTGAAAACAAAGTGGCCCCAATAAATTAAAGATCATTAATAATACTGATCCCTTTTCCCTATTCAATATATAGAGTGGATACAGGTTTTAATCACATGTGTCTTCTGTCAAGGTAAGCTCACTCACTTGGACACCACTGTGACCTGCACAGTAATGGTGGCCAGATCACCTGTCTACAAGGTGGCCAGTTTTAAGGGTATTATCTGAGAGATTAAATTCACTAATGCATAGATTTGTGATCTCTATGGCTTCTGCATAACAAGGGAATGCATGCTAGAGAGACTTCAGCATCGGAAAAAATCTGTGCTGTCCAATGCAGTAGCCACAAGCCACATGTGACTAGTGAGTACCATGAAAAAAAGGAATGTAAAATAGCTACTGGTCTCTACTGATTGTATGTTAAAGTGATACTATTTCATATATATATACATACATTGGACTAAAGTATCAAAATTAATTTCACTTTTTCTAATATGGCAACCAGAAAACTTAAAATTTCACATGTGGCTCACATTGTATGTCTACTAGATAAAACTGATAGAGATGCTAACAGTGTTAGGGTGGTATACTCAGAAGAACCTGCTGACGTGGGTAACTCTATCCTTGTTTTACTAACCAGAAACATATAAGGACATAATAAAAAAAATACATTTTTTTCTTGCTACTTTTATATTTATATTTTTAGGGAGTAATATATAATAAAAGAGAATAATAAAACAGTTCCAACTGTGTTTTTAGAAACGCTTATAGTCATTTCAGCTAAATTTCTATTACAAATATAAAGGCATACAAAATTTAAGTTAGATTCCATTGTTTCCTATTACAAATTCTACAAATATGAAAGAAAACCAAATTAAAGAGTAAAACTTTTCAGTAGAATCTTATGAAGACACTAGAAAATGGGCTGTATACCTATATATATTATTCAATTCCAGAAATAAACATCTCATAAATAAAGAGAATTGGACTAGAAAGATTGCTAAGAAAATCTGTAATCAGCCTCTGAAGAGCAGAAGTGGATTATATTAGCCTGGCTGAACATCTTTCTTCTGGATTTGCAGAAAGGCGGTGCAAATTTCCAGAGAATGGCTTCTAATTGAAAAGAGAATAATTATGACCCAGACTATCAATTATAAGTAAGTTTAATGGACTAGAAAGTTCCACCATAATGAAAAAATTAGCTGCTCACATTTAGGAGACAGGGCAATACATAATCATTTAACATACTTGAATTAAAATCAGAATTATTAATCAATTAATTAAAAGTCTTAAAATTACAATGCATATATATACGTTTATATATATTACGTGTATTTATCTTGGTAAGGTAGAAGAAAATCTGATGAACATAACCATTTTTTGTTGTCAAATATAATTTAATGCAAAACAGAATCTTCATCAAAGAGTAGGTTGATTAAAAATGAACAGAGATGCATAAGGGAAGTATTACCTATCTAAAGAACTTTTGCTTTGCGTTTATGGAAGATTATCGCTAAGCCTACAAACACTATTTATCAGTGGAACTAACAGGAAAGCAATGTTCCCCTCCGGAGGCCTCGCTGGGCCTTATAACATTATCAGCATACTGAAGGCTCCCTGAGTAGCGTGGAAATAAAACGACGGAATAGCAACAAAAGGGACAAGCAGCAGCCAGAAGCAGTTACAAATTACATCAACTATTTGCAACAACACTCAGGGAAATATGTGTATGTGTGCCCTTGGGTTCATCCACATACACACATCTCTGCAGAGACATGTCCTATAGGAAGGGGGGATGTAGACAGCGAAGTGAACATGAATGAAGACACCTGTGAGGTTCACATGAAACAAAGTAGAGTAACTGAAAAAAAAAATCACTAGTACCGATGATAGGAAATTAAGAAAGTCTTTATTTTATACCTTTCTCGTTCTGGTGAATGCAAACTAGCATCTGGTCTCAAGCAGTTGGTACTAGCGCTCCTAGCCCTGCCGAGGGGGGGCTGCAGCTCACTAGTGCCAGAGCATTGCATCCAGTGGTAGAAGAGAAAGACAGGAAAACAGAGAGAGGAAGACCACGTTAGAGAGTAAAGCATAAAATAATGTTCTCTTTACATAAAACACAGAATCACTGTGATTCAGTTCATAAGGGTGTGAGAGAGCTGACAGGATGGCGGTGCAAATTTTGTTTAGAAAATGAAACTAAACAAACATTATGCTGGAATTGCTTTGCATAATTTTCTAAGAAGGGTCTCGGACTGAGAAAATGAGACTAAATCACACCTACTTATGAAAAAACTGGATACAGAAAAGCACTAAAACAAAATGGCTAGAACTTCATTACCAAGAATGATGCCACGCAAAACAAAATGAAGGACATTGGAGGAGGAAACTCTTGCAGCTCAGCTGTTCTGCTCCATGACACCAGACACGGGAAGCAGAAGGTATGACCTCCAAATGTTCCTCCCTCACCGGTATTTCATCAGGAACCCCAATACTCTTGAGTTTAAGCACTAAGGACAAGGGGCAGGTCCTCTCTAGTCACTGCTTTGGTTTGAGTATGTGCAGGCAGAATTGAGCTTCACACATTAAAATTATCCAAAAATAAAATAAAATTAGTTATAATTAAAATCAGCAAGTAAAACAGTAAAATAAAACAAAACAGTAAAACAAGTAAAACAAATGACAAAGAAGGCGACCAGAACTCTCATATTTGAGTAGATTTCATTTAGAGAAATATTCTAGAATGAAAGGTTTATAATTAAAATTATTTTTAGGTATCATTAATTTAATGTTTCTCTGTATATAATTAATTTTAAGAGAAAATCTTAATGCTTTATTAGAATGTAAACCTGCTATTTTTAGTAGGCAAAGGATATGGGGTTAGTTTATACCTGAGACTCACTGTTAGGATTTTTACCTGTAAATACACCAGTGAGAACTGTTCTCTAATAAAGGCATCTTGGGTGGCAATGTTGTATAGTGCCTAACAAGGTGTCTGGGACATGGCAACACAAACACGCAGGGAACAGAAAAATACACATAAAGTAAATTTTGCTAGATTTGAAAAAAGTAAGATACCACAAACATGGGTGGATCTTTTGTCTTTTCTCAGAATAATTATTTAAGGGTTAGATTAGAATTATAAAAACAAGGCATCACAGATACCTGTCTTTGTAATTAAAGACTCAAAATTATAATTTGTCTTAATTTGAAAGATATCTGCTGACTAAACTGTATGAACTAACCCATATTTAAATTTACTGTTTCATCCCTGATTAAGTATTATAACTACTTCTATGGAAGTAAACAACTCATATCTAAAAATATTAACCAAATAATTCATGTCATTTGGGAATTAAATAAATACGACCGAAAGAGTTACTATTCTAGTAAGAAGCAAAGCGTTGACGAGGGGCACGGGGGTGAGGCTGGTCGCGGTACTGGACTGCGGGGACAAGGAGAGGGCAGGAAGGCCCAGTGAGGGGCCGCCGCGGGGCGAGCTCTTCTCCTTTCCAGCCTCTGGGTCCAACACCAGCCACAGCTGGAATTTATCCCTGGCAACTGAGTGACATGGGCCTTGGAGACAAACTAGAAGATGAATTCTGATTTGTCAAAAAATGGAAGAAAAAAGGCCCAACTTTATCTGAATTCCTTGAAGATCTATGAGGGCTTCTGGACTGTATACCAGCAAGGGCAAACTAGGTCCAGTTGATTAATTAACTTTTGGTAATTAATAATGCTTCTACAAATTTAATTACTGATTATGAAAGTCCATCAACAATTTTGGCTTGCATTAGAGTATGATACGCAAGGAAGGGAATAACCATGTGCTGAGGACATAATAAACATCAGACCCCACACTGTTCACTCACCTTTATACTGATGGTTGAATCAAAGGAAATCCCTTAAAGCTTCAGTTTAAAAATGTATTCAATACTGTATTTGAGCACGAAACCTGAGGACAGATTTCACTGAAACTAGGATTCTGCCTGCTTTACAGACAAAAGAGTCCTTTTTTCAACTCCTAACCTTAGGCAAATATCTTTGGAAACAGGTTGCCATATAACTTTTCTAAGCATTGGGTCAAAAATGATTTTTTTCCCTAGGAACACACTAGCGTGGGTGGGCACAGAATGGAAAACAGCATCACGTTTGCCGTGCGGCGGCCTGAATTTCCAGCTTGGCTTTGCCACTTACTGGCTGTGAACCTCGGTAACTCCAGTAAGTCATTAAGCCTTTTTCTACATTTATCTAGTGGGCAAAGTAACATCTGCTGAGCAGGGCACCGTGAGAAGTGAATGAGAACAGACACAGAGTGTTCAGGACACAGCACGGCAGCTACAGCACTTCCTGAACAACATTACCTTCTCAGGTCATGTTTTATGAAAGAAGGGTTTGATGGTTAAATAATCTGTGGGAAAATGTATTAAACAATAGGAGGCATATTTTATTACTATATGACTTGAACATGCTGTGCATATGAAATCTCCAGGGAGGGGCCACAATCTGCAGCTCCCCAAACCTGTCCGACTCACAAATCCCACTGCCCGGCACCGACTCCGCAGAACATATTTTTGGTGAAACCAGCTTAGTGGGAACATCATTAGGTCTGACTTTGAATCCATGCTCTGTTACTTATCAAATTAAACTTTCTTAGTAACTTTCCTCATCTGTAAAATGAAGGTAACATTCATATCATATAATTACTGTCAAGAAATTGAGATAAAGTGCATTAAATACTTAACACTGTGCTGCTCAATGAATGTTATTTTCCTTGTTTGCTGGAAAGAAGTACCTCAAATTTTATGCTTAAATTCCTAAGTGATATGATATGCTATAATTTGAAGATAAGATTGTACAAAATGACGAAACTACTATTACATCACATTTTGCATATCCTGATATTTCACTTTTAGAGGGACAAACAAGGGAAAAATACAGTTAGCTGTTCTGTTTAGCTTACTGAAGGTAACATTCATATCATATAATTACTGTCAAGAAATTGAGATAAAGTGCATTAAATACTTAACACTGTGCTGCTCAATGAATGTTATTTTCCTTGTTTGCTGGAAAGAAGTACCTCAAATTTTATGCTTAAATTCCTAAGTGATATGATATGCTATAATTTGAAGATAAGATTGTACAAAATGACGAAACTACTATTACATCACATTTTGCATATCCTGATATTTCACTTTTAGAGGGACAAACAAGGGAAAAATACAGTTAGCTGTTCTGTTTAGCTTACTGGGGTATGAGAGAAATGGCCCCGCTTCGGGCTCCAGGCACACACCAGGTGCCCTAAAGTTGGGTTTGTTTTCTTTTTTACATCAACAGGAGCATGAGGAAATGTTCTGAATTTGTAAACAAATCATTCCTATTAACAAACTATTTGTCAAGAAGAACAACTAATGGTTAAGTCTGGACAGCTGAGCATTAGTTAATTTTTACACTGATTATTTTTTCCCTGGTTCCCAAGCAAAACTACTGTTTCCTCATTTCTCCTATGGCAGGATAAGCAAACATGGCAGTAGTTATCAATATGAGAATTTTATACATAAAAAAGTTGAAACAACTTTTGCTAGCATGGTCATGTTTGCAGTACTGAGTAGAACCACATGTTCCACGTACACACAATAAATTCTCCCAGTGTCCTGGCATTGCAGGTATCCTACTTATAACTCTTTCCTTCCCTTCCTACTTCCTTTTTATTGGCCAAAATATTCCAAAGAGTTTGCATGTTGGCTTGTTCCACTGACTTACTACTTAGTTCCTTACCTTCTATTAACTCCCAGTTGACATTTACGGACTATATTCTACAAGTACCCGTAAGAGGATTTATCTTGGATGTGAAATCCAAGATGTCATGAGATAAAAATAAAGTACCAGGTTCTAAGCTCCAGTTTACAGGAGAATATTAAGTCTCCTTTTCTTCTCAGCTGTAAAGAGGCATCATACCATCCCAGCCTTTATAGGCAAGTTTGTGCTGCAGCATTTCTGAACCAGTGTGGGGATGAGGGGAGGGAGGGCTCAGAAGCTAACAGGTCAAATATCCTCAGCCTTTAAAAACAAACTGGTCAAGATTTTATTAAAACCAAAAAGAATATAAATGACAATAGATTCCAAAAGGAAACGAAGCAGGCTAAAACAAGAAAACTTACTGTCATGCAAACAACAATACTGCCGTGCACAGAAGGTCAGACCTCTGGTGACTAGACAAGTGGGGACGGCTCACGGTGAGCATTTAGAAATTTAATTCCAGAACCTGGTTCCTCAGTTTGGGGAACGTTTATAAACAGTTCCACAGAGGCTCGTCAGTCTCTGGATTTTTGAGGAGGCAAATAGAAAAGCAGCATGCCTGGTCAGAATCAAAATATATTTGGAAACTTTTTCACAACCTCCATATAAAATAAAACGAATTTTGAATACTCAGGAAATTAATTTCACATATTTTAGTGACAGCGTTCAGGGAGAGATGAAAGAACAGCAGAATGGAGAGAGAGGCGTCGCATGCGGGCAGCGCCGCCGAATCCCCGGATTCGTTACCTGGCGGTATGCAGGCATTCCGCGCTCCGGCCTCGCTTTGCTCTGGGCAGCATGAGAAGCTCACTGCACAGCAGGGCGGGTGGCGAGCGAGACGCATGGGTCATGGGGCATTAATGACACGGGTTACGCCAATGGGGTGCCGATGAGGACATGAAAGGGAAGAAACCAGGTTGTCTGCACTAGCATATTTGCTTGAGAAGTTAAACAAAAATAAACATGACAGCATTTTTAAAAACTTAACCAATAAAGTATGGATATTACAGTCAAAGTCCTAGCTGTTGTTGATTTGCTTTTGTATTTCAAAGTGATTTTACAAAATATTGTAACAAAAACTAAACTGAACCTTCCTCAAATAAGATGAAGAAATCTACTTCCAATTCTAGACACTTGGGTATTTTAAAAACTTTTGAAAGGCCTATACATTGGGCCTTCCTGATTCTAATGGGATCCCTAAAAATACTTATTTCGTTTAAATGACTTAAAGCATGATAGTTTTCTTGGCTTTTCTAGACATGAAAAATGCAAAATCACATGTTTCTTAACCAACTGAGAAAATATTTAATTAGGATTGTTTTATTTTTTTTTAAATTTATGCTTGTTCTACATTGAAATTAATTACACTCTTTGAAATGCCCTGGTTAAGAAGCCTCCTTCTCCCTCCTCATCTGAATTCACGGTGGCCCCAGGGAATGTCGGCCAAGCCACCCTTACTCAACTCGACTCAGGCTGAGCAGGGTGGGATTCTAGCCCTCGGAGTTCCTGTCCCAGCATCCGGCAGGACGCCATTCTCTTGAAGGCATGGGGCACTTCCCGCGGCAGGATGACAGCCAGGGAGGTAACAGGCTCTACCTCCGGTCTGTGTCCTTGGTTACACGGCAACAACCAAACACTCAGCACAGCACCACTAGCATTTCTCTATGAACGTTCCTCCGCTTCAGAACGCCAGAAGAAAATAGTCAACAGGGTGGGTATTGCAAAACCTGAAATCAGATCCTGAGCTTGTGGTCGGGCATATTACACAGGTGTGAGGTTATTAGTTTGAGAAGAAAGTCTGTGGGCATGTAAAATAACTGAGTCATAATGTAGATTTTTAGTGATTGTGTCCAGGAAATATTTCTTCATGAGAGAGAATCCATCACAATACTTTTGTACTTTCTGTATAGACATTTTATGGAAATACATTTTATGAAAAGTAGGTATGTAAAAATATTATTATATAAGTTTTCATAGAACTGTAATATTAACTATCTTACAGATGACCCATATCCAAAAATTTTAATAACATAAAAAAACCCATAGTTTTATAATTACATAACAACATCCCAAAGACTATAACCCACAAAATATAAAATATTAGACAACTGCTTCTGTAGATTCCCTTCTAAAATTTAGGTTATTATCTAAGACAACAATCAGCTGTACATGGCTGGTTGGACATGGCTAATGGCTAAACATACATTTTGATCTTACCGAAAAAAAATGCACATATCATGACAATATAATGTTAGCCATATATTTCCTGGAGTTGCATTTCTATTAGAATTTCTTAGGCGTTGTCCTTGAGAGAAGTTCAGTTTTAAGCAATGAAATGCTCTTGCTTTCTATGTACTATGCCCAAATATCTATCATATGCTAAAACAGAGCAAAGAAAAATTTATAATGTGGAGATCATAATTTGAACAAATACCTGTCTTGTTCTGATAAATACTGACTATCCACATCTCTGGATCTGTGATCAGCTGGACTTCGGGAGGCATCATGATGTCTGGTTGGAGAACGTGATCTTCTTGTTGGATGAATTTCATCTAAACTCCTGAAATGATACAAAAATTCTTGAGTATCCAAGAGGATGATCTTCCCAAATCAGTCAGACAGATAAACAGGGAAGAACTGACCACAACTGGCAAACAACTGACATGCTTTGAAAAGCGTTGGCATCAAAACCAAAAACCTATTTGATCAATGGATTAAAAGTATTTACTCTGAGTAGTTTATCTATGCTGTATTTCTCCAACCTTCTATTGCACCTCTGGCATAATTTTCATCTGGATACTTAATTAGAACTCTAGAAGTACATTTCAGGTAAGATGACTATGACTTCCGTTTTATAGACTATTACTTGTGCTTTACTTTTCATGCATTTAAAGTGCTTCAAAGAGACAATCCTCAATTTCTGGAGAGTGCATTTCTCCTCTTCACCTTATTCTCCCTCCCACATATCTCCACAGGTCTGCTTCCTTCCCATACACTTTCTCCTGACAGGAGAGAAACCTGGCAAACACAATACTGTACAGTTATTCAAAAAATGTGGCTGGGACAGAAACTTCTTACACGCCCTTGGAAATTTCTTGCAATTAAAGAACAGAAGTTCTGTGAGTTGGCTAATGAGTTAAAAAAGCATTTTGCCTACAAATGATTCTGAAGAAAATAACTTGATTGACCAAACCATTATTTCATTTGTTAAGAGTCTTGTGGCAGTTTATACTGTATTAGAATAAAAAAGTACTGTCAGGGCCACAAAGCACATTTCAGAACCTACCGCTGCAATGGCACATTTGGTAAACGTGAACGCGGCCGCCCCTGATCATCGCCGCGATGAGGAGAGACTGACCGCGAGCGCTGGTGAGTTGTTCTCGGCTGCTCTGGCACAGTTAGTGTCGTGGGTTTACTTTCTCTTACGCTAGACCTAAAACCTACCGGCAAGAGCACATGCAAAAAAACAGTCACTATTCTTTCATAATGTAAAGGATCAAGTGAAGATACCAAATTTCATCTAAATCAGCCACTGACCTATTAAATAAGATAATGGCATGCAATCAGTATTATTAGCTTTATCTCCAAAACTATGAGGCATACGTACAGCATGTAACACATACATGCATAGGAACAGGTCACAGTTTAACTCAAAGGTACCATGGGGATGCTGAATGAATATGACAGCTGATGCCTCAGATATTAGCATGAGTTGGCATATTATTTTAATTTAAGGAATGAATGAGCTAGTGATTTTTCAGCAATACAAATCAAGCACTTGATTGACAGTGACCTATAAGTAATATATACAAGCCAATGTTTACAAATTTGGTGTTTCTTTAAATGTTATTTGAATTTTTCATCCAAATGATAAATTATTTCAGTTGAATTTCAGATAGCTTTGCTAATAAAATGAAAATGATGTGCCAATCTTAATTAGCAAAGAAGAATAGATCTCCACTATTACAAATACTGAGAATTTTGCAAACCACAGATAATATTGCAATTTTCACATGAAAATAATGTATAGGTCAAGATCACTGTGGTAATAAATGCAGGGAAAATTAACCCTCTGCAAGGAACAACCATCAAATCTACCTCAGACATCTGAAACTAGCCCACAAATTTGTCAGTAACATAACTAACACAGTTAACATAATTGCAACTAAAAATAAATGCTAGAAGTCATTCTCCCAAGAAGCAAAAAAGGTTTACATCGTCTCTGATTTAGTTAACAGACAACAGTAATCTCAAATACATAGTAACAATTTAATTACAATTTTTCACAAGGGTCCTTGGTTGCTATTATTGCACGGAAATAAAGTTATGTGGCCAAATGTATATTTACAACTACATGAAATGAAATTGAACCATTAAAACATTAAATGTAAGTGGGCAGCTTGAATGGTTGTTCACTTATTAACTTGATAACTCCCACATTGTTTTAAAAAATATGCCATGAAACATCCTTATTAAAGGCAGACTAAAATACCCCAAAATTTTGTGTGACCTTGGAACTAAGCTTAGAGTAGAAGGAAAGTCTTTAAACATTTCATAAAGGGCAGTTTGACCATATTGAGACCAAAGACCCTCAAACACTTTGTCACTCTAAGAACATCAGTAAAATGACCAAGTAATATAGCTATAAATATTACAATTTATAATTTCATATACTTTCATTTATAAGCTACTATTCTGAGTTTCACATAGAAAAGTTTCTTTGCTGTTGTTCAGATCTATCAAGTGTAGTATGGAGTCTAGAAAGAGACCAACTAAATTTCCATGTTTTTTATTTCACAGTTCATTATAAAAAATGGGGGCTATGTTTAAAGATAACTAATCCCAAGGCCTGAATTACTTAAGTATTTTAAATTACCATTTGGTATCATTTGATAACATTTGGTATCAATCATACAATAATTAAGGAAAATTAATATTGAATTGGGAGCATCATTACAAGATACCAATGAATATTCAAGGTATATAAATAAAACTTTCAGATTTGGTATAATTAATTATTATGCAATAACTTTTAGAGAATTTAGGCAGCTTGCTGTTAAAAGGGTATAATTAATTTTTTTCATGGGTTCATTGTATTTATGTAGAAATTAACTTTTTTTTCTATCCTAATATGCATTCATATTTCTGTGTCTTCTTAACAAAGTAATTTGGTTTTCTTCATATTATGTTTATTTTTGACAACTTGTATTCTATGATAAAGGTGGGAGGGAATTGCTATTCCACGTTCATTTCAATGTTTCAGTTGGCTCAAAGCCAATAGTTAGTTGTTGTTGTTTTTTCATTTACTGAATTAGAAGTAATGCTCTGAAAAGCTGAGGTTGTCAGGTGCCTGGCCTCAGAGGAAGGCATTCTGTATATGGCTGCTTTCATTCTTCTTAGCAGTCAAAAGTATTAATCATAAATACCAATAAGGTTATGAATACCATAAAGTTAACAAGTTGTAGCTCAGAAGTTATCAACTTTCTCTGGAAAAAGGTATTACATCAAATCAGAGCACAGAACTCTCGTTCTAGAAAAGCAGTTATTAGAACAAACGTTTAACTCAGTTGTGCTAAACAACTCAGTTGTGCTAAACAGCTAAGCAAAGCTTTTGAACTTCTTCAGGAAACAAACAGCCAGGAATTTCACTGAGTGCGTTCAAGGTGTGTATAACCGGTGTCTATACTGAAAATTTCTCTTCGTATTGGATGCTAAGAAATGTAGAAGCAAATTTGTAATCATCCTCCAAAGTATATAGGACATAATAAACAATGTGCTTGTTTATTAACTTATCCCCTCATTTTATTTTAGCGTCTTGACCTTATTTTACCAATGCCTCATCTTTCCTCTTTATGTCAAGTGTATTGTATTTTACTGTGTGACTTGCCATGTTATATTTTTCCACACATATTTATCTTTGGAAGCTACCATTTATTTTAGATTAATGAAGAGCATACCTGACAAAATAAATAAATTACTTATTTCCTCCATTATTAAGAGAGCTCTGCAACAAAATATTACTTATGGGTTATATAATTTCATGGTTATATTCTATTAAAAGTTTGCCTCATGACATTTTAAATGCTAACTGAGCATTATTTTAAATGACAATTTAGATACTGCTTATTTATGTTTGCAAACACAACGGTCTGGTGTATTTCAGTATGGTATGCAGCTATAGTTAGAATTCACTGTTTTCTCTGCTTGTGTTCAAGTACTAATCCCATCTGCAGTGGGTCCCGTAGCTCCTAGTTTGGCTGTCTTCACATGATCTCCAGGAAAAGAGGAGAAACTCACCATTTCAGTGAATATTTATTGAATTAGCCATTGGTTCATTCATTCACTATCATGCCTCCTCATAAAAAAAGGAAATTTTAGGTAAATGAAATGTGAGAACCACACACAGAAGTCAATTCTATATAGATGAGCTGGTAACGACAACATTAAGACTGATTAACAACCCGAATTCTTGTTAGAAAAGTTTGATGAGTTTCCTACAAGGAATTGTGTGATTCGTATTTAAATATGCCAACAGATTTAATGCACAATCACTTTCCCCTTTCAATTTCATTTAAAAAATTCTACTAAATTTTGCATGAAAGTTTCTTTGAAGAATGTGTCTATTATGATCCTTTTAGAAATTAAACAGAAAAAAATCTGAAATGTTATTCAGTATTATCTACTATTATTTAAAACTTTCACTTGATGATCTGATATCAAAGACTAATATCTAGTATGTACATATGCACAGCACCAGGTTTATTGTTTTTAAGAATATTTGCTACTTTCATACAGTGATTAATACTATAATTTTCTCTGAATTATAGGAAGCAAATTAAAATTAATTTTAGAGAACCTGTAATAGTTTTCTCCTATTTTAATGAAGTTAATCTCCAAATTGTGAACTTAGTTGCGTGTGATCTATTGGTTTTATTAGAATCACTGCCCTCAAATGAAGAGTATTCTCGTCTGAGAAATTACTGAAATTAAGGGACATGTGGCAACAGTGTCCTAATGAAAGGCCTTTAATAACTCATTTATAGGTCCTGAGATCTTATCTTTAATTTCTTATAATTTGATATTTCCTTATCTTTATTAGTAAATCAGGGGAACAGTATCAGATTAGTCCCAAGAAAGTTAAGTCTTTACTAGTTTTACTCACTTTCTGGCAAGAATTGGATGAGAAACAGATCTGAACCGTGCAAAGTCACAGAGGTTTTACTAACTTACACAATGAAAAAAAAGATGCTGACTTAAAATGAATATTGAGTCTTCCTAAAGCACTTCCTTACTTTAAAACACAGACATTCCAGGTAGACTCAGTGGTGAACACGTGACAAAAGCATTAAGAGTGAAGCCATACCACAGGCAACGTTAAGCCCTGCCATGCAGTTTATTCCATGGAAGGCTCCATTATTTTCAGAAACAGAGGAAGGAAAATCAGAGCTACACAATATAAAACATAGGAGAATGGAATTTTTATTTAAGAAAATCAACCATATCCTTTCAACATGACATTCATGTTTTCACTTATGCTCAGAGCATCGAGAAGTAATGATGGCAGCCCAGCTGGTCACGCTCCTGAGGAAGAACTGACCAAAGTAAGTGGGATGTTAGTGGAGAGTCACTCAGCCACTTTAAACTTTCTCAATAATTTAGAACACAAGTCACCATGGAATAATGTCACACCGACTTCTCTGCTGTAAAGCCGTGTTCAGTCCCCAAAGAAGTCTGGAAACGGACAGTGAAAAAACGCAGAGGCTCCGAGGAGCAGGCCTTGCTCTTCCCCACGCACCTGGAGGGACGACCCCAATGCCGTCGTCGACTTCGTAATCTGAGATGTCGCTGTCACTGATGCGCTGAGACCCTGCACGACAGGAAGCAAACAGACACCTCTGGGTCTTGTGGTTTATGAAATGTAAAGGACACAGTCAGAATTTTTTTAAAGAAATAGCTAATTATATTACTGCTAAACACTTCTTAACAAGAATAATACGAAGTTACCCCTGAGCTGATTCTTAAAGAAATGTATGCTCTCCAAGGACATCTTTTTCTCAGTATTTCCTCCTTATAATCACTTAAAACATATAAAAGGAAAGGAACTTTGCAGAGTAAGATTTTTATTTTTCAAATTATTCTTTAATTAAAGTGTTATACTAAAAGCCTATAGAAAAAGGTACACACAGTTTTCTACCAAATTAAGTGCCCTCCTCTGTAGTTGAGAGGATAGGGCTGAGGAGAAAGGGTCAAAGAGAACTTCGTGGCTGCAGCTCTATTGATCTCATACAACTGAAAGGGCATTAGTGCCCTCATAACATATTTATGTTTAGCTTCAAAATTAGCCATTATTCTGCATTAAACATTAATTTTAAGGAAATGATTGATCAGAGAAGCACTAACATGAAATATTAAATTATATGAAGAAAACAATTTGGTTCCAGATTACCAAAATGAAGCTTCTACATTTCACTCGTTCCGTTAGAGATATAGTCAAAACTCAAAATGTAATGGGTATGTACAGAAAAAAAATACTAGTTTTCCTAAGTCTCCCTTTACAAGATGAAGAATTTGCCAGTATTTTAGTGTCAATAAACATTTGAAAAATGGCTTGCATGTGCATCTCTAAGCATATCATTAAAACATAATTCGTTCGGGCAACTAAAAAGACCTTTAACCTACTTTGCAGTTTTTTGCTAGAGCTTTCTGCACGGATGTGTCGCCTTGGCATGAAAGGTGATGGCTGTGGCAGAGGTAGTGAAGATTCATCGTGCGTCTGAAGTTTATACCAATGTGGTTCATCATCTAGAAGGGCCGTCTCCAGTTCTATGAGGATCTGGAAGGTCAGTTCTCCCGTTAGAACCAAGCACCTTTCCCAAAGCTTAATAGAGAAGCAATCATAATACATATCACAGGGGCTTCAGCAGGCATCTGACTTGATCTTTGCGATATACATCACCTCTCCGAGAAATTCACTCTCCTCTCCTTGCGCTCTTGGTTGGTCCCACACAGTTATTTCTAACATTCGTTCTCTAAAATCTCTACGATGCACATGTGAATAGACAAAAGTTTGATTCCATTTCGGTTCTAGTACTTTCTTTACTGTTTTGGTCCTCCTTTTACTTTTATCACTGAAAAATAAGTACGTTTTGTAAATGAAAAAGCAAAGAGAAGTATATGCTGCCATCTACTGTAGTTACATGGAATACTGCTATTGGGATGTTAATTTTTAATTCATAACTTCATAGAAAAGTCTAAAAAGAATAAAGCTTAATGCTATTTTAACTTTGCAATGTTAGCAGTAATTATGATTATAGGCACACACAAAAAGGTACATTCTAAGTGATACATAGTTATGAAAGACTAATACATGTATAAACAAGGTAATGAAAAATTTAAAAATTAGCAGATTATTTTTTAAAAATACAAGGTTGAAGAACTTTTTTTTCAGGGATGTATAGTCTATTCCCTCAGAGAATTATCTGTTATATTTTAAAACTCTACCATAGGTATATGCATATGTCCAAACACATCAAAATATGTATAAATAGGTGCAATTTTTGGCATATCAATTTCACCTCAATAAAGCTTTAAAAAATAAATAAAACTATATCCCAGGAGAGGAAATTATGCCTTTTCCATTAGTAAAGATTTCTGCATATTTTTTTCTAAAATCATTCACTACCTTCTATCTGGAAGAAAATACATTTTCACATAGGGATTCCTGGGACGCCCATCTCCCCTAGGGGGTAGATCTGTTGCTTGCAGAACATTTACAATGAGCTGGTGTCCCACTTTATCATACCACAACTTCACCTAAGAGCAATGAAGAAAGGTAAGATTTGTAAAAATCATGAGGCATTATAATTTTACCCCAAAACCCTAAAATTATATTTGAAGAAAGAAAATTCAAATTGCAATACAACTGAATTATAGGTATTGTCTGAAAAGAATACCAATTTAAAAGCATAATCACTTCGAACTTGACTCTTCATGCACATTAAACATGACTTACCATTGGTAGACCTACAGTGTCATACTCTCTTATATCATACTATGAAAATACAATTATCAAAATTTTATAAAAACTAAGGAGAGAAGGGGTTAACAAAATACTTATCTTTGTTTTTAAATGCAAACACTAGTATTTGGTGATATAAGTGTCTTAATATTCTGGTGTACCACCTGTGTTGCATGGCACTATATGGACTTGAAATAAAATGGAGTTTGATGGTAGAACATAATACCAGCGATTTGGAAACGATCAGGAAACTCATTTACTGTGGGCCTACTTCACACCACATACAAGCTGTTTTCTTTTCTCATTTAATTTCTACACTTAATTTATTACAGGTTAATTTTCATGAGAGGAGGGGAAATGAACAAAGGAAGGTGTAAGACATAAACATACCTTCAAACTAAGTGGGGGCCAAACTATATCCTACTAAGATTTCATGATAAATTGAATAAGGAAAAATGGGAAAATGGCACACTGAAACACTATCGTCAAACCCTTAAGAACCAGGACTTGACTAGTCAATACAGTATCTGCACTGGCAGTGGACAATGTGAATTTATTTTTTATTTAAAAGTTAGTTTGGGTTTTATGGTTAAGAACTATGAGCATACATTGTTTAATGGGGACATAAAGGAGCACATTTACGAGTCATTATGAGAAGATAAGCTAATGTAATATGAGATTGCTCTTTTCCAGTGAGGGGCAGATTAAGCATTCTAACCTGAATCTGCATGAATCCATAGCTCTTGTTCCCAGTTAACACCACTGATGTTTTTCATAAAACCAGAATGGATTTTTCTCTCTCTTAATATATATGTGGGGTATAGGAGAGAGTCATACATAATGAAAAAAAAAAAGATGGCAGAGTGGATAAAATAAACACAAGGGATTATACAAAGGTATTTAATTTACTAAAAATAGAAGCTAAAAACAAGAGCAAACTTCCAGTTTTTTGTTTCATTAAAACCAAGAGAAGAGCAGCAAAAACAGATTATGGGAATCCACCCATCACCAAGGGAGCAAAAGATCATTCACAGAATAGTGTGAGGCAGACCCACTTTGAGTCACTGACACAGATGTCCTGTGTCCCACACTGACGCACAGGACGTGGGGTTTCATGACAGGGAGCCTTAGTCCACTTTACTCTGCTGCTCCCCAGATGTAAGGCAACAGTGAGTGAAACTGTAGCTTTCTCACCATTAACAATGAAGAGTTTCACCAAAAGTCTTAAGAAGTTAGAGAATATTTTAAATTCAAGCTTTTCAGGCTCCTGGCTCATAAGGTTGCTAAGTTAAATGGTACACGACTTTCTAAGTTCATTATGCCTAGCCACTTACTTACGTAGAAACTTTTGTATAGCACACAAAATATAATGGATATTTTATTTACGTCTTATTATTTATCATTTAATGTTCAGAACACCTGGCATATTGTAAGCACTCAATAAATACATGAATACAGGAATAATCTAATAAATGGCAGACACACTGATGAAGTAGATTATGGTATGAAATGACTATGACAATATCATAGGCTTTAAAGAAAGCCACACTTGAAACCAATATAAGACTGTATATTAACTATACTTCAATAAAATAAAAAAGAAAAACAAAGCTAAATACATAGTTACTCTATGATCCAGCAATTCCACTTCCAGGTGTGTAACTCAAGAGAAATGAAAACATGTGTCTACGCACGTACAAAAAAAAAAAAAAGAAGAAGGAAAGAAGAAAGCCATACATTTTTAAAGATGGAACAGTGAGAAAATACTGATGGTCTCCAAGATGTACAAGAAATACATACAGAAAGTTGTCCTGGTAAGACTTGGGGGGCATCTTTTAGAGCTCCAGGGCTTGTTGGAGAAATAACAGAAATGGAAGGCCTTTCCATCTTCTGAGATTCAAAGGAACTTGAACCTAGAATGAGGAAAAAAATAATTTTCAGGAACATGTGTGTTGGGAATAAATATTTTTAATAAATAAAATATTTTTAATAAAATGCTAACAGCTAACAAATTTTATTTGTATAAAACCCAAACCCAATACCACAATAACCATAAACCTACTTCCAACTGGACAATCATAAAGTTGTCATGTGTCTTCTTTGGTTAACTGCTTTTTTAAAGATATTTAAAAATAACACAATCAAATATGGTGTTTATTTGCTTCAATTTGTAAGTGCTGATTTTCTACATTCCTGGAGGGTATTGTACAGTTTAGACTCATGCATGACCTCACATGTAGGTAAAGGCCTCATGCATTTGTGATGAGGTACCCGTTAGGTCAATCATCTTGGCTAAAGGCTCATCTATTATGGACTGTCCTTACTAAAATTAAAATGAATGCACATGTAATATAATTTCTAAGCCTAGGATTCATCACTGTTTTAACGTAAGGTATATTGTCTATCTCAGTTTCGATCTTACTAATGAACCTCTCAAGTCTGAGGATGTGGTCTCCAGGGATTCACCACCAGCAACCTGTGTCACCTTCATGTTGAGGAGCTGGCTCTCCACTCAGCCACTCACTTTTCCAAAGTGAAAGTTCTCTCTTCCCAGCACTATTGAAGTGTACCCTGACAAATGAGCAGTTTAGAACGTCTGTAGAATGTGACTACCCCAGCAAGTACAACCTTGAGCCCACGGCCCGGAGAAAAAGCTTTAGTGATAAAGCACTATTTAAGGAACACTGCCTGACCGTAAGTCATCCACATGGTTTTTTTCTATACATGCAAATTAAGTCTAAATCATAACATCATTCTAACCTCCAAAGACTTTCAACCATAAGAAACAGTGCTACAATATTCTTTGTTACTGTGTGAGGAAAATTGTTTTCTAGGGTCTTAGTACAAGAACATTATTGCTTCTAATAATTTTTGTTTCTTAAATTATAGCAGTTTATTTTTAAGAAGTACCAATGCTATAAAAGTAGGCAATTGCTTCCATTTGCCCCTTTGGCAATCAGGAAGTTCAAACCAGATAATGGACTCATCTCTAGTAGGTGTACACACTGATATGGTCTGCATTCAATATATGGACCTAACCTCTGGCTCCTTATTGTCCTGCCTTATAATCACCATCACTTAGATCACTTTGTATTTTTTATTCCCATAAGCTGGGTAACATAATAAAACTTGGTGATCAAGCCCAAGTATTATTAACTTATTGCTGATCTATTGCAAACCAAGTACCTGGGTCACTTCCACATTCTCACTGAAAACTTCACCTGTCTATTTTATTGCACATTGTTATCTTCTCTCACTTGCAGTGTCTTTAATGCCCATGTAAATAATTCAGCCCTCTAGTCTCACTGTCCCTTGACACCCTATGTTCACTGAACTTTGCCCGCTCACTTTATGAGCACACCCTACACTGTTACCCCGTATTAAAACTATTTGTTAATGTGCCTGTTTCCATCACTACACCACTCGTGAGACAGAATTACCCATCCAACTGAATAACCCCACATCATGATAAATTTGTGTGTACCACAAACAGAACAACTATTAGCACATATACACACACACACACACACAATGCAGACAAAGAAAAATCTTACAGGAGAACTTCTTACGGTTTCCAATGATTGCCATGGTTGCCAACTTCTAATATCACTGGAAATGAACTTTTAGTACAGTAATGCCAATTCACTTATACCAAATAACTAGGATAATGATAAATCTTTATTTTTCAGTTTCATTCAGTACATATTATCATAACAAAGACTGTTATACTCACTGGACTCCAGGGGAGGATGGGAGCTCTCAGGAATCCGTGGAATGTCACTAAAAGAAACAGGGTATGGTGAAAATCCCGTTAGCTAAACTACTCTGCCTGAGGCAATCATGACCACATTTTATTTCAGTGGTGTGAAACATCCTTGGGTCTTAACAAGTGTGGAAATGGACGAAGTTACTATTAAGGCAATTACTAATGAGTATGAATGTCAAACACCACACACACACACATACACCACACACACACACACACACGGCAGTAAAATTAAGTTTTTATATACTTAATAGCAAACACTTCAACATGACAACATCAGACTAATATTGTGGTTAAAATCACCACAATATTTTTACTACCAAAACAGCAAGTTTTGGAAATAAAAAATGTTAAGGTAATTATTTTACTTCAACTCTACAAAATCATAATGACACATATTTTACCAATCAGTAATATGCTTTACAAACACATCTGAAAGAGTTTACTGAATGAAAGGGATGGAAACATTTCTTGGTAATAACATAATATGGTGAATATCATGGGCAAAGTTAGTAAAATGAAAAGGATGAATTGCTTTGGAAATTAAAAATGGTTCAAGCTTGCAACAAAAGAGCTGAAATATTTTTATATATGTGAATATACAATTCATATACACATATATAACCCTATATAGAGATTCATATCTCTATAGTGAAGTTAGCTAAATATATATGGCCATTTGCTATATGATAAGAAAGTGACTTGTGAGAACACCCATTCCTGTCACACTCACAAATTACTCTGAATATTTAATATAACCTCAACTTAATCCATTATTTACTGTGACCTTAAGAACCCTGGGCCAGCTTGGTTTGGGCATTACACTACAGCCAACTACTTTACCTCTGGTTTTCCGAAGATATTTTAGTATCAATTTAAGGAGATTAACAATATGCGAGTATTAACATGACATATTAAAGCAGACTGGAGTTAAGTAGTATTGATATAATTATTGAATATAACTGAAGGATTTCTAACCACTTACCTTGTGACCTAAACTTTGATTTTTCTTTGTACTTTTTGGGGGAAATAGAAACAGTATTTTGCTTACTCCTCATTTTCACTTTTTGTATAAAGTAATTCTCATAGCAAACTACAATTTATACATTTACAAATGACAATGCATCCTCCATTGTATATTTTGTAAGAATATTTAATATATGTTTTTGTATAACTAATAATTTTTGTAACATTTTATATGATAATGAAGAGACTAATCTGCAATTCCTAAAACACAAGAAACCAAATATTTATCTTCTGCTACCTTCTTCTAAATTCATCTGGGAAAATAAAAATAAATTTTCAAAAATCCAGAAACAATAATTTTTTAGACAGTACAACTTATCTCTATGTCAGTTATTGAAATTAGAATTTGGAACTCTAAAACTGGGTACAAGCTTTGAATTTTGGATGTCTGTGAAAGAAAGGATTGCAGAGAAGTTGTAAAAAAAAATTTAAAGTGATGTGAATCAAATTCATATTGAATCAAAATTCATTAAATGTTAGTTGCTTCAGCAATATTTTTAGGCATAAATTTCCATTTGATGTTTACACAAGTTCTCTAAGTAGTTCTACTCACAAGTTAAGGTAGAATAGTTCTAATAATGATCATAAGCTTAAAGGTCTAGAACACATTTGGTAGGTTGGCAAAAATGCCCACTGTTGCTGAGACTGATGTCTGGTGTCTCCTAGAGCATGCGGATCACTGTACATGCAGGTCACAGCTGGAATGATTCTTGGAGTCACTATGCCACTAAACTATGACTATTTGCTTTCTGCTTTAAAATAATAACAGAACTGCATTAAACATTATTATAAAAAGAGCTAGAATTATTGTCCCAGGATTCTAACAATTTTTCTATTAACTAGAAAGTTGATGTCAAATTTTATCTTTTTTTAATGATTTTGTATTCTATATTTCCTTGAATGCCATAGTCCATGAGAGTTTAGGATATGGCCATGAAGATTATTACTTTTTAAATTATTTTCATACAAAAGTAAAAATAATGAAAACATTATTCCAGTCTACTTTAATTGTCTGTTAAGTCTCCACGAATCAATGACATTTTAGCTGCTTACTTTCAAACCACTGTATATCTGAAAGTATTCGGCAATGTGCACAATGCTTGCTTTTGAATTTAATTTTTATACTTTAGATTCATTTTCCAATTTACTTACCTCTTTTCCAGACTCATATTTACCTCAGCACTAAAACACATGTCATGTAAAGCTAGCATAAATTATATAGTGCTGTTTTTTAAAAAATCTGGATGGAAATGTACAGTACTTTTGCAAATGTCTTCAACGTTTACTCTTAATAGTCACCACTGGAGACTAGTTGTAGGCTTGCCTTTATTTTAGAATTATATATATATATATATGTGTGTATATATATATATACATATATATATATACATATACACATTTTAATATTACTCTTTGGGATGTATGATCAGACATTTTGAGGATTAAGATAATGATCTTTTCTTGTATGTTTTGATTTGGCATATATTCATGAGGACAACAAAAACTTAAGGTTAATAAATTTAACAAATTTTTAACAACAAAAATTTAAGGTTAACTTTCTCAACATAAAATGTCTTGAACTGATGGGTCTATAATACTTTGGAGAATAGGAAAAAGAAAAGGAATTATTTCCAAAAATATATTTCAAACATTAAGTCAACTGTAATAGGATAGTTCATAATGCCTTCCCAAAAATTATTGACTGGAAAAATAAATATTCTGGACTTTATGGGTTTGCCAGGAAAAGCTAACCATGTGGGGAACTCTATACATGGATACAGAAAATATCCCACTGGTTGTAGATAATTAAATTATGCTGAAAATTGAAGCTTTAAAAATATAACAACTATTACGACCAACTAAGGTGTTAAAGTATTTCACTCTTGCTTGATGTTAATGAAAAATTGGAACTATTCAAGGCAAAGATATAGAAAAAATATTCTATTCTTAGTAGAATAATAAAGAGTTCATGTAAACATGGGAGATCATTGCTATTTTAAACATCAGAAAAAGATGTTTTGTTAGTGACCCCCTTTAAGGAAATGTTATGTATTAAGTTAGAATTATTAAAAATAAATAGTTCTGCAACTAAAAGAAAATATTTTTACTTTGTATTTTACTTGTAAAAAATCCATATCAATACTTTTGATATTACGATTGTTAAATTGTGGAGCTTCTAAAATATAGTGAAGAAAATTCAGTATTCAAATTTTTTTAATTAAGAAATTTAAAAGTCTAAAGTGTATGCCCATAATTGAAGGAAAACTCTGTGTTAGTATGTACTGTATGAATGTATAAACTTCTTTTTAAAACCCTGCTAATACATGTAATTTACTAAACTTAAGAAGTAAGTTTTTTTAGCCTTACCCAATAGGCCTTGAAACAATAATTTCAACTTGAGGTTCTGATTTTGATTCTAAAATAATGTTGTAAACTTCTTCATTTGTAGCTCCCGGCAGGGGTTTACCATTCCATTCTAGAACTTCATCCCCTTGAATTTAAAAAAAAGGGTATTTTTTTACCTTATATATTCTGTTTATTTTTCTTATCTTTTCTCTTTTTTTAACAAAGAAATGCAAAACATATACAAATATTTTAATTGTCTTGGTTCTGCTCTTAAAAGCAAATTGATTGCCATATAATGTCAGCTAAAGGTTCTTTTAAACACTTTTTTTTCTCCCTTTTTTCTTCTTGCCCCACAGAATATTACTGGTCACTGGAAATTGCACAATACAGAACTACCTTTATCTTTTTTAAATATACCAGAAATAATATAAAAATAATCTCATGCTATGGGATGGAATTAGCACAGCCTATTTGGAAATATTAAAAAATAATAATTAGCAGCATGCCCTCCAGTATAAAAAATGTAGGCAGGTCTCTATGTGAAAGATTATTAAACTGCATAAACTCTGTTGGGGTTTTGGTTTTTTTTTGCTAGAAATAGCAATTAACATTTATTAGCATGAATTTTCCAATTATAAGTCATGCTTCATTGTCTTCAGCAGACTCACAACAGAATAAAAATGCATGAAAGGATTTGAACTCATACCCATAGGGCAACGCGGGTAGCTATGCAAAGTCACAAAGCAAGCAGATGTAAAACTGTTGCATGACAGTTAACCCACTTCCAGATGTTCGTAACACACACATTCTATACATAATATATAGTGAGCATAATGGAAAATTAGAAAGTATTTTTATAATAATAAAAAATATAGCACTCATTAACTTGTTAAATATCCTGATCAATCAAACAGAGCAGTATGATGCTAAAATAACATGAACTAACAACTTGTTATTTTAATTAGAGTTTTCAACATGCACCATTTGGGAAAAATTATTTTCATCAATAGAGCAGTTTTAGGCCCCAAACGGTTCTCTGCCCAGTCTCCTTCAATTCTCAATGGGAAACTCAGGTGAAATCTCCCAGCCTCAACAATTCTTTGAGGTGTCTTAACTTTTTTATGTTTTTGCTCATTTTGTTGTTTTCAGTGTCTATAGTATTTTAGTAGGTAAGTACATGTGTTTAATTAATGGATTAATACTATAATCTATTTTAAAGCTAACTATAAACATTAAATTTTTTATTTTAGCTAGGTCTTCTTTTTTTTTTAAGTAGAAAAACTTTGTTTTGTCAGGGCTATTTTAAAGTAATTATTTTTTCTCCCCAAGTGTTTGTTTACTCTAAAGTGAAAAGTAAATGTTTGAAAAGCACATGATTACTGCTTTGGTTTGGCAAAAGAGTATGATTATTACTAATAGTTAAATGACTTCTAACAGTTTCAGTTAAGTTACCCAAGCAAAACTGGTCAAATAAGCAGAGTACACTTCACTATAAAAAAACAAATACAATAATTATGAATTTTAAATATATTAGGAGTCTTTTAAATTCTTTTGACCAAGAAAAGAAATAAAGTTTACATCGTATGAATGTATATGTGTGTGTGAAAAGGTATTTTCTGAAAAAATACTTATTCTGATATTTCCTATTCTATTATGTTCTACTTCCTTTTTAAAAAATAATGTATGTGAACCATCAAATCAATTTTACTACCCAGTTATGAGTTTCAATCAACGTTTTGCAGAAGCGCTACATTATGAAATTCTCCTCCTCAGAGTAACCTGGAAACATAACTTTTATTATCAAATTAACTTAATACATACGTTTATTAATTTACAAATCAATACCTCCTAAGCCAGAAGATGGTCTCTGTAATAATATTTATTTATATGTGGATAATCTCTTCAGGCAGAGATGTAGATTATGATGATACGAAGATGAAAAAGAGACTCTCCATCCTTAAATTTGGTGGGGGAGAAATATAGAAATGAATACCTTTAATAAAATGTTACATGCAGTGCTAGGAGTTCATGTGAGGAAAAGAAGTTGAGCTGGTAGCACCAGGGAGTAGTGATTAGTTACTGCTCCAGGTCAGGGATCAGGAAACACTTCAGAATTAAGGCAACATTAGATGAGTTTGGAAGGATGGAAAGGACTTCAACTGGCAGAGCACAGGGCAGAAAAGCAACCACGTAGACCAGAGGCAGTGAGCAGGTCTTGCAGGTGGAAACAGCGTGCCAGGGACCTACAGGTAGACTGTGTGGTTGGAGGTACAAGTGAATGGTGATGGAAGTGGCTTCCGTAATGGAACTGTCGTAGAGGACCAAGTTACAGAGCTTTGATTTGAGCAGATATGATGGGAGACACTCAAGAACCTTAATGAGGAGAGTGTCATTATCAATTTTGTGTTTGAATGCTTAAATCAAGTGCAGTGCGGAGCATGAACTTAAGGGTAAGGTGAAGGAGAGAAAGCTAGAGAGTGATTAAAACAAGATTTCAAACGCTTAACAAAGGTCATGCTAATAAGAACACAACTCTGTAGTTTTATAGGCCAATGATGTTTATATACAAGTAGAAGGAAAATAGTTCTTAAGTCATAATGAAATCAAACAATATAAGATCTAATTGCTTAAAATACTATTTTCAAAACATCAGTCGCTTAAATCTCTTTCTGTGTGCTATGGGTTATCAGCCCTCAATTGTACAGTTCCACCTACTTTTTTTCTAGATAATTGTCTGGCATAAGCAGACATTCTAACGAAAAGACTCCTATTAAACATTGAACAATATATGTTGGTATGGTTTTAACTAACATAAAAAGTAAGTGATTTACTAAAAATTGATTTTAAAGCATGTTGCTGAGTCAATACAGTACATTTAAATATGTTAAGTGATTTTATTAAGTCATATTAAGGTTACAGAGCAACACAATGTAAATTTCCAAATGCCAGGACACAACACATCTTCATGAGCACAATATGAATATACATTACATAATCAGTGTAAGACATGTGATTATGATTATATTTTATTAAAAATGCTTGCTATTGAATAAGTGTTTTGAGATCACTATGAAAAACTTACTAGTAATTACTATACTTCAAAAAATAAACTAAGGAGTTAAACAGTAATATTTTTTTCATAAGGCTTGTTTTGAATTTTTATAGCAATATTAGGAAGTCTACAAAATTAGTAAATCCTTCTGCATTTTGTATCTATTTATTTTTACATAAATACAAAAGATACCTATTCTTTCCTCCAAACTGCTCCTGATGTATAGTCATCTATTACTGCAATCAGTAAGTATTGAATAAAAAGCTTTATTCATGCCTTAAAATTATCTACTTAATTGATTTATATGTAACTTACCCAAAACTGAAAAGCACCAACTCATGCATAGAGTACATATTGTTTAAATGTTAGAAAAGAGACTTTACCTGCTCTCAAGTGTCCCACCACATCCGCAAGGCTGCCCTTCTTTACTTTGGTAATAAAGGCACCCAGGCGTCCTAAGTCAGTCATTTTTCCTCCAACGACCTGGGTAATTACAAATGTGTTAAGTTCCCAAGACTTACATTGAAACATAAGTTTATTAGTTTGAGGAATGGATCCTATAGTTTTTTTATGATGTATTTAGAATTCAGTATAATGACATTCATGAAGTGAACTACATTTCTGATGAAAGGAGCTGGCCGTATAGTTTTGAAAATAAAACAGCACCTCATTATATTTGAGATGTCCTAAGGACATTTATGCCCTGATCATCTATATTGACCTAGCAATACAAGGACACCACGATTAATGACACCCTTAGGGGACAAGTGCCAGATTCCCCTACTTACCAAAAAAAAGAAGTGTTTGATACTGGTTACATTACAGTCCACTTTATCCTCTCAGTTTATGTCTACCATTTGAATTAAGTTTCTATATGCAGAGAATGCCCCATTGTCACATCTGATCTTGCCCTCTTTTGTATATTTTTAGTAGAATGTAGGTCTGAGACATAGACTAGGGATTCCAACCAAGAGCAGGCCACTTTGCGAAGCAACTTACCATGTTACAAAGAGTAACTAGCCTAAGTTTACCTGTGCTACTGACCATCTGAATGACCTCCTGCTCTGAAAAATATATGTGTTGCCATCTTAACTCTCAAAGTCTAAGTTATACTACTGAATATTTAACACTTCCGTTTGGCTTTTCCTGTCACTAAAACTGAATTCATCTGAAAGTTTCTAAGTTTTATTTCTCTCAATGCTGGGGCTAAATTGTATGACTGAAAGTGGGAGGTACATTCGCAAAGGCTGAGGTTGATCCATAATTCTTTGGGACATGCCCATTAATATAGGTGATCAGAGTTATTATTTAGCAAGAAAAATGAATGCTAATAATCAGTAATATGATACTGTTAAGTACATTAACAGTAAAACAGTTTTAGTTAAAAAATATATTTAGATTAATAGTCAATAGCTCTGAAGAGGTCAAACTATCACACCACTATAATACAATCTCTTGGTAAATAAAACTTTTAAAGCCAAATCTTTGAGTGTTTCTCTAAGCTTCTGAAGAAAATAGAACAATTTGATTTAAGGTACATAAACATGTACATACATAATAAAAAATGTGTGTGTGTAAAAATACATGTATATATTCCTACAATAAAATACAACCTTTTGTAATTTATTAGTTTTTCATTCTATCTGCTAGAAGTTAATTAATATTTTTGAAATACACACTTTACTCTTTTGGTATTACCATAAATTCTACTGCACTTAGGAAACTATCACTTTAATGACTCTTTTTGTTGCTTGTCAAGATACAATTAATTTATGCAGTCCACATTACCTAACTTTACTACCACCCATTAATATCTTTTTAATGTAGAAATCATCCTTGAACTTTATATTCAAAGAAAAATTCTGTAGTTTTCCTACATATGCCTGCAGTTTCCTAGTACATCTTTATGCCATATTAATAAAACGATTTAAAAATGTTAACCCAGATAAAAATGCCAAATCTACCGTATGGTATCAATATATTAACAGGACACATTCACTGGGAAGACTTTATTTTGGAGGGGAGAGGAGGATGTTTAAACACCATTGTCAGACACCTTGTTGAAAGCAGTCCGTGCTGTAATCCACCCTGAAGCGCCTGAAGCAACGGTCGAAGCCGGAATACTCACTTTCAGACCCAGCAACGCGCCGGACTCCTTGGGCATGGTAGTTCTCTTGTTAAGAATAACACGTCCAATTAACCGGTCCCCCTCTTTAGACGGTTGCCACGTTACAGGGTGCTATTAAAACATAATTAAAGTTTAAAAATATTTGTTTTCTTTCCTATAGACATGAAAGTATGAGTTGTAGCACAATGTGATGTTCTCAGTTAAAAGACACTTTAGGGGATGTCTTTATTCTGGTGGGCTCTATCCTTGGCTTGGGACAGCTTCCATTTATAGCTGTATATTATTTGCATTAGGTGATTATTATACTAAATAGTTCTAAAAGTAGTCAGCAACTAAGGACACCTCTAAAAAATGGTTCTGAGATGCAATTAATTGAAATTTCAAGATACATCTGCTTATATAAAGAAAACCGATTCTGTATTTTGCATTGGTAATGTTGGTATCATTAACCAAATAATACCTCATTTCTGTACAGTTATTTAATAATTGCTTTTTACTTAATTTAAAATTTGTTATAATTGTTTAGTGATAACTTTTTTTCTTCAAAACAGTACTTTCTTCAATGAAGTCATTTGCTTTCCTTGAATAGCAGTGTATGATTACTACCTATCACATACCAAACAAAGGACAGTGAACAGCACACATTACCGCTGGACTCCAAACTCTCACATCCCCGACAGCTTACCGAACTAATAGGTGATGTTTCCCGGCCGTGCCACGTGGCAGGGTCCAACCAGTAATAATCCAAGTCACCTGCACAACAAGAACAAAACGAGTGTGATGCTCTGAAATGGAGAGCCTATCACTTTAAGTACAACTTCTTCAATTTGTAAGGTAAAGGGTTATGACTATTATACTCTTGAGTATGAACACCCTCCAGAATAATACACACCTGCGTTGCAAAGCCTGTGGCCTGAATCCTTGAAACCAATGTGTGCTCATACTACGGGAGAACTGCCTTTTGCTCTTACAAATCAGTCTAGAAACATACATAAAACATCCCCACTCCACCTCTCCTCAGAAGGCATCTGTACCAAGGCACAGCCTGCCATCTAGTGATGCTGAAACTTTATTCACTGAGCTGAGATGGAACATTTAGTGTTTCTCTTTCTACTTCTGGACGATGTTACAGCCCTTAAAATTGTTCTCTGGTCTCTATCCTCTTCCCTCATTAGCTGAACAATAGGACATACATTTTTAGGACACAATAGAGAGAATAACTTTGAGCAATGGGGTGCAAACAACTGACAGTATTCAGTCTTACTAATGCCATAAAAAAGACTTTCAAAATCATAACTTTATAAACATGAATTTATGAACCACTGATTTAGATTTTTGGCTTGAAATTACAATGCTACAAAAAGGAGCTGAGAAAAAAGACAAAAAGTACTGAGAGCAGCAGTGCCTTTCCATATTCCCCCAGGAAGGAAGGCCAGAGCAGGTAACCCATGTGAGAGTAAGTGACCTTTTATTTACGTTTAAGATCGGATTAAATCAATGAAAATTCTCCTTGTGGACCTTGAAAGAAAAAAAAATTAAGAGAGGGAGTAAAACATGCCAACTGACAGTGAGCCATCTAGCTGACTATCTAGCCAATATGTTTGGCTGGTATCTGTGAAGGTCATGAGTCAAGAATTTAGGGTAGATGACAGGCATGGCAGATAGAGGCGTGATAGAAAATTCAAAAAACATTTAAAATCTGTGGACATAATACATCCATTCCCTTCAATTCCTTAGTAGATGCTTCCCTTTCTCTTTTAGGTAATATCTTAGAAAGGGTGAAGGAGAATGTTATATATGGTACAATAAATACTAAAATGTTCTTCAAGTATGTCATGTAGGTAACAGTAGTATATTCTATGAAAGGGTGGATATTAGAAACCACATTGGTAGAAACTATATTCTGTTAAAATTTACTTCACAGAGTTCAGATTCCTCTCAAAATCACATACTTTAAAATGCTGACAGCATCTGGTGCCAACAATTATACATCTCTAATCTTCTCCTGGACCACTTCAGTTAACGGAATATAAGGAAGGGTTTTTTTTTTCTCCTTTACTTTTACTATTTGTAAAACTTTGTGTTTATTTTTAAAATTGCTTTGTCTTTCATATTATGACACCTTTATCTTGAAAGAAAAACTATTCATAATAATAATAAAGTTGAAATGACTACTAAGCAGTAGCTACAAATATCTTGCAAAAGGTTTTTACAATTCATCAAGTTTTCTCCCTAAAATTTCATATACCTAGAAGTAGGGCTTGATGACTTCTTAAGTGAGGTTAAAGAAAGGCAAAATCCATATTATTTTAAAGACTTGAAGAGAACAAAGTCTGCTGTATCCTTCCGTGACTTGGCTTAGATCTTACAAGCTCTCCACTTCGGACCCCTCTCTGGCTCACGCCCGTTTCTCACATGACACCTCAACCCTGTTTCACTCACTTTGCCCTAAGGAAACCTAGATTCATGTATCTGTGAATGTTTGCTCTGCAAAAAGTGCTCCTTATATGCAAAGAACCAAAAGCTGATGTCTCTGGCACATTTCAGTGATGTACTGAGCACACTTTATTATGAAAACACGCTGCTTTCAGGCAGCGGTATTCTATCACTTATAAGCTTTGTAGGATAACGATCTTGAACGGAGAGTCTAATTTAATTGGTTCAAGATGAGATATATTCATGGTTCCAAAGGGTAGCCAACACTAACTCTCACATTATCCTGACACTGATAATATGGCTGCTACAGGTTTTATAGCTGAAAAAAAATTTTCCCCCAATTTTGGTCACAGATATGGTATTGTAGATACCTGCCAAAAACTGCTAATAAATGTTAATTTAAAATGCATTCAAGATTTTAACATACAGTAATATCTGTATATATTTTAGTATACAATTATGCCTCCTTCACATTCTAAGCAGTTTCTAATAGTTTTCTTATCACTATTTTGTCATTACCCACTAAATATAACATTACTGCTTAAGGACTTACAAAAAATAAGTCCTAAAATCTGAATATGTAGTTTTAACTATATTTCTTCTTCACACGTAATTACAAAATTTTAATGATACTGACTTTTTAAGTACTCTAATTTGTCTTTATAACAGTCACATTTCTCTGTTATTAATGGAATAAACAACACCATAAAACTTCCTCCTAAAATGTTCAGAATTTAGTATTTCATTAATATAAAACATTTCCCGTGATTATTTTTCCAATAGGTGATTAAAGATATTGATTGTCAAATGGCATAGCTTCAAAATGATAAATTCATGGTATTTGCTTATGGAACTAATACAAAAAGCATTTAGAGTCTAGTGTGCAATATAACTACAATGGAACAAGTTTACTATTATCATTAATTTAGATTCAGGAAATAGATCAGATTCTTCAGTCTACTGAAATAGCTCAAGTTTATAAATAGCCAAGTTCAATGAAGTGCTGTAATTTTGAGTATTATTTTTTGTGAAGACTTTGAAAACAGACTTTTATTCCATCCCTTGTGAAAAGTAAGTTAAAGTTAATAAGCACACAACTTTCACTGCACAAATAGAAGTCAGCTAAATGACATGTGGGCCTTCTGTAGAGAGTCAGTTTTTCCTAAACCCAAGTCTTTAGCTTAGGGTATGTAACAATGCATAAACACATCTGTAATTTGAAATATTTTATATTATGATGTCTAATGTCAGAGCATAATTCCAACAAGACCAATCAAGGTCAACTGAACAAAAAATACTTTCTAAATCATACACATGCATGACTAAGTGTTTCCAAGTATATTAAAACCACAAGGAGAAAACCTAACTCCAAGTTCACACATTAAATACCTATTTAACAATTTTACATGACAGTTAACACTTGACCCAGTAGAATGTGCATCTAATGTGCAGACAGTAAAGGAAAGGTTATCTACAACAAAGCCCTACTAGAAAATTTGGACTTCTCCATCTCCAGAAGATACAGCATATTTTTAACATCATTATAATGCATGGTGATAAAAGATGGAACTCAAATCAATTCAAAGATTGACTCACAGTCAACTCTGCACAATTCCAAATACATATCCATACTGTACTACTGTTCATGTCAAAATAATTGTTTTTCTGATATACCACACATCATTGCCATTCAAAAAAATTATAAAATGCCTAGACCAAAAGTCAGAAAAATCATCCTTCCTGTACATTTCCTATACCTCTTAAGACTTTTTTCTTTTCTTTTTGTTTATCCTCCGCAGAAGGATGTGTCTTGGGACCAAAAAAAATTAAATAAATCCTAATCCACTTTATTATAGCACAACACATAGACAAATTAAAATACCAGGCAGATACATGTTTTCACTGAATGTTTCTATGCGCTGCATACACAAAACCAGCTCAGCTTCAGGAATGGGTGTTTAGTCTGAGACAATGTAGTGGGTTTTTTAATACTGAGTTCCATGATTAGCACACGAGTTAATAAATATCACTTTGGTTATAATGCGATGAAAACATTTATACATTGTGATATTTTACAAGGATATCCTTCTCATAGACAGGAATCTAAAGTCTGAGAACTGAGATAAAATCTTAACTTCTGATTAATAAAAAGACCATTTTGAAATAGTTTTCTCGTATTTTAGAAGTTTATTTCAGATAGTTCCATGCCTAAAAAAGGCAAGTGTGTCTGTAGCCACCCCTAAATTATGTATAATAGTAGGGCTGACTTTTGAATAAATTAGCCATAATTCACTGTATAACAAAGCCCTAGAAAGCCTAATTTCATCTAAATTAAATTAGCAGTCAGGGAAACAAATAATATTTAATAGGATTTAGTTATCTAGGCATTAAAATGGGGAAATCTACTTGTTAAATCTTATACTCTTGGAGTATTAAAGCCTATAAATAAATCCTATAAATAAATTTGTTTTCTTTCCTATAGACATAAAAGTATGAGTTGTAGCACAATGTGATTTTCTCAGTTAAAAGACACTTTAGGGGATGTCTTTATTCTGGTGGGCTCTATCCTTGGCTAGAATGCAATGCAAAATCTGCAAATTGCCAACCACGACTGAGTTACTGTCAGTCTAAGTTGCTATAATACTGTGAAAATATTGATACTCAAAAACTTTTTTGGTGATTTAACTCAAAATCCACACCAAGGCTTACTCTGCAATTGGACAGCAAACACTATAATGAAGGGACAGATCAGTGTTCCCTGAAGGCAGGGCCTGAGGCAGGGCTACAGGGATTTCTGAACCCCTAGTCTTTTGCAAGAACCTCTTCAGTAACTGAGCAACTTGACTGCTAATTCCTGGTTTGGCCCAGGACACATACACATATAAGGTGTCACTCCCTGGAAGAATAACATTATCTCTGGTCCATAGTGATTCATCAGAGTGGCTGTTCTCTAAATGCATGTTCGAAATTTCACTTTCACAATGTTTACCCTTTGTTCATAAGGCACTCTGCTTTCATCACAGAACAAGCACCACCCTTCTCTCTCTCTCTCTCTGTTTGGTATGTAAATCTGATGTTTCAAGTAAATACCATCAGCTATTATTTATCAAGCAAATGAGGTATCAACTATGTTTGTATTTGGAAATGATTTACTCAGTAGAACCGCCAGAAGTGAGTGACCTGAGAAGATTAAATATTTGCTTGAGGGCCTGTGGTATTTTTCACACTGTTAGTGCCCAGGAAAGGAGGCTCAGTAGCTGATCCAGGAAAGGAGAGTATCATTAACATATTCAGTAGGTTATATGTATTGCTTGGTG